CATATAGCTGCTCATGTTTTATTCTTTAATTTTCTAGGATACATGTCAAGTGAGAGATTGCTAGGTCATGTGGTATTTCTATTCACATTTGTTTAAGGAAGTGCCATACTGTTTTAAATAGTGACTACACAATTGTGCAACCCCGCCAGCGATGTATGACGGTTCCAATCTCTCCATATCCCTTCCAATATTTATTATGTTTTGTTTTGTTTTAAAATATTCCTATTAATGCCAGGGTGAGGTGGTATCTCATTGTTTTAATTTGCGTTTTTCTTCTAGCTAGTGATCGTGAGCATGTTGGCCATCTGTATGTTATCTTTGGTTAATTATTTATGTCTTCTGCCTATTTTTAAATTGGACTGTTCATGTTTTTCTTATGTGCTGCAGTTTTGTATATATTTTAGAGATTGGGTATTTATTTGATATATCTTTATCTGAATGTCCGCTCCTCCCAAATCTATAGGTTCTCTTTTTACTCTTCGGAAATCCGTGGCTATGTAATAGGTTTTAGAATCAGGCAGTGAGAGGTCTCCTATTTTGTGTTTTAATAGTGTTTTACTTAAACATACCGGCATGAAGAAGGGAACCAATAAGGAGGTCTGCAGAGCTGGCTCTAATCCAAACTACATGGACACCACCACCCCCAGAAAATGCACTTCAGAGGACAGCACTGAAGCTACAGCTCAGGAAGAGGAGCCCATCTAATGAGAGCATACAGGAGCAAACAAAGAGGGAAGGAGAGAGAGTAGAACACATCCTGACCCAAGCCCTTTGGACAATATTCCTGTTCAGAGCAGCCAATGCATAGAGAGGACCATAGGACCGGCCCCATCACGAGAATGACGTCCCTCATTGTCCCGTAGTGCTACAGAGGGCAACACTGGAAATGTAGTGCAAGAATTGTACTCCATCTGACCCCACCACACCAGGGTAAAAACACTAAGGATGTGCAACAGAACAGCAATGGGAGCAAAGCAATGAAGTCCCCGGGGAATGCCAAAAATAGACTTTGGGGCCAGGGTGTGGTACCCCATCAGGCTCCACAAACAGATCAACAAACAATTTATAGGCTTTTCTTTTTTTGAAGTCGTTTTTTTTGTTGTTGTTGTTTTGTTTTGCTCTGTCTTGTTTTTGTGCTTATTATTGCCTCTGCATTTTATCTAGATAAGTGTGATAAATAATCCAGAGGAGAAAACAACAGGAGCGATGGTTCCCTGGGGGAAATGGGAGAGGGGGAGGAAGGGGAAAGGAAAGGGGTGTCAACAAACCCTGGGACAAGGGAACAACAAGTGACCTACAATCAATGATGAGGAGGGCATAGGATGCCTGGTGGGGCTTGATAAAGGGTAATGTAGCCGAGAGGAATTACTGAAACCCGAATGAAGGCTGAACATGATACTGGGACAAGAGGAAACTAAAAGGAAATAGAGGAAAGAACCAGGAGGCAAAGGACATTTACAGAGGTCTAAATACAGGCATGTATATATGTAAACATATTTTATATAAAATTAGGGAAATAGACCTATGTACATATTTTATATGTTAAGTAGGTAGCAGACGAACATTGGGCTTCTACTCAGGTGTTCCCTCAATGCAAGAACATTTTGTTCTAATAACCTGGCACTCTGTGATGCTCACCTTCCCTGATAAGATCGCTGACGACAAAGTAGGTGCATAAGCAAATGTGGTGAAGAAAGCTGATGGCTCCCATCTATGATAGCATCTGGGGTCTTAAAAGCTTGAAGATAAACAAGCAACTATCTAGCTGAGAAGCAACAAAGCTTACGTGGAAGAAGCACATCAGCCTGTTTTATCATGAGGTGTCGATGGGATTGGTATCAGGCATCAAAGACCCAGAACAAAAAATCACATCAATGTGAATGAGGAAGAGCACAGAGTGGAGACCCAAAGCCCATCTGTAGACAATTGGACATCCCCTGACAGAAGGGTCACCAGGAATAGATGAGCCAGTCAGGGTGCAGTACAACACCAATGAAACATACAACTTTCCTCTAGTTTTTTAATGCTTCCTCCCCCCGTCCCCCACTATCATGACCCAAATTCTACCATACAAATCTGGCTATATCAGAGCATGTACACTGGTACAGATAAGAGCTGGAAACACAGGATATCCAGGACAGATAAACCCTTCAGGACCAATAATGAGAGTAGTGAGACCAGGAGGGGAAGGGGAAGGTGGGAGGAGAAAGGAGGAACGAATCACAATGATCGACATATAACCCCCTCTCAGGGGGATGGACAACAGAAAAGTGGGTGAAGGGAGTGATCGCTGTAAGACATGAAAAAAAATTATAAACTATCAAGGGTTCATGAGGAAGGGAGGGAAAGAATGAGCTGATACCAAGGGCTCAAGTAGAAAGAAAATGTTTTTAAAATGATGATGGCAACCTATGTACAAATGTGCTTGACAACATGGATGTTTGCATGCATTGTGATAAGAGATGTACAATACATATTTCAATCTGACATAATTCAATCTATAACATTCATGAATAATCATCGCTGCCCTCATCTTACTCTATATGTTCAATCCCTTTATTTATTTTTATATTATAACAGCTTTAATGTAAATTAGATGGGAGATTATCTTTTAGCTCACAAATTTTGTTTTTTTAACTTTTTATTATGAATTAGGTGAAGGTTTACAGAGCAGATCATTGTTTTCATAATAAAAAATCCATACATTATTTTGTTTCAATTTATACATTGCAATCCTTTTGATGCATCATCACTCATCACAATTCCTCCCTGTGTTTCTTGTTTCCATTTTTCCTTCTTCCCTAATCCACTGAAATTTGTCCTTTGGTAGATATTGCCCATTAAAATATTACCAGTTTTGTATTCAGCACTTTAAACTACTAATCAATGCCTCCAATAGTTTGATATTTATCTGCTCCTTGATTTATCTTCTCCCTTTTTGTGTTAGTCCAGGTAGACTAGAGAAACAAATTTCATAGACACTCATATTCTTTCCAGAAAACAACCCAGTAAACCGCATGAACATGCCTGACCTCTGGCTAGCCAAAGAAGAAAAGCTATCATGAGGCAGTGGTCAAACAATGATCCACTCTCCATCTTTATGACTTGTGTCCCTAGTACCCCACTCTCAAGGCACCATAATGTGCTAGTCTGGGTTGACTACAGAAACAAATCCAGAGAGACCCTCATATGTGTATAAGAAAGAGCTTTAAAAAATGAGTAATTACACATTAAGAAAACATCCGAGCCCAGTCCAGATCAAGTCCATAAGCCCAATATTAGTCATTATGTCCAATACCAATCTATAATTCATCTTCAGACTCATGAAACACATGCAATGGTGCCAAATGCAGGAAGATCACAGGCCAGTGTGTGAGGAGTCTTGTGGATCCAGTAGTTGGTGTTGTAAGCATATCATCACTGTCAGGGGTCTCCTCGTGGCTCCTCCAGCTCGACTCTGGCTGCATCAGCTCAGCATAACTCCGTCCAGCTCATTGTCCATAGTGTCTCACAGGGAGTGTGTGTCCCGCCTCCAATGAGCTATTTATCTCCTTCGTACCTCAAAATGAGGTCAGCAAGATGTGGCCTGACTGACAGGCTAAACTCCACCCCTTCACTCTTAATCCTCTCAAATTGACAACATATTATATAACTACCACACTCTTGTGAAATCTTCCATTTCACCCACGTTAACACCTTATATCAATCTAACACATT